TACTTTGAAAATTAAAATAATTATGAGTGACCTTTAGAAATTAAAATATTGATTTGAAACTTTCAGAATCGAGATTTTTTTCAACCTAGAAAATGATAAAAAAACGGGAAAAAAATTAAACACAAAAAAATTAAATTTAACGATTTTGGAAATTTTTAAAAATCTTGGGACCTCTAAAAAAAATTTTTGAGCTGATTTTTTGAGGGAGCTCTTAAAACATGTTAAACTAACATATTTTCACGACACAAAAAAAAATCGTTTTTTTTTGTGCCACCCTACTATACATATTATTCTCCAAACGTAATTAGTAGCAAGTTAGTATAAGTATATATAAGTAGCTATATATTTTAGTAATTAGGCAGTGTTTTTAAATTAATACGACTCACCAAAGTAAAAAAATAATTCAAGTTATATCATTTTTACTGAAAATAGCAGTTAATTTACGTATCGGATCGTTAACGTGAAAATATAAACATTAGACTGTTGACTGTTCCTGTTATACGTTTTTTAAGCTTTTGAAGAAGAAACTACATGTAATTTTAAAAATTATATCTGCTTTTATAATAAAGGAATGGTAATTATAAGATTGTTTAACCTTATTAACTAAAAATTATTGCCTACTTAATAAAAAAAATATTATTGTCCTCGATAATCTATTAATGATTAATAAAATCTTTACTCTCTTTCCTTATAAGATTGTATGTACACAAATTGGAGCCGCTCCTGAAAAATCGAGCCGTTTACGTCCAGCGTTTATTATTAGACTTCGTCGTTCGGTTAAAAAAACACACCTTGAAGCGTTGGCCGCTAGAGCAGCACCTGCCGGGGTCCCGTTTCGTGACTCACGCTGGGCGATATTTTTTGTACAAAATCCCGTCCTTAAATTACCTATTTCTTTCTTTTAATAAAAAATTCTATATCGGAAGATTTTCATATGGTATTTGTTTATTTTTTTTTGTTGTGTTTACCGTCATTTTACTTTACTCTTTAACTTTAATTGCTAAATAGAGAGTCGTAGTTTGGAAAACCGGTCAATCTGGGAACCTCCTAGCAGGGTTGCGTTTTATTGCTAGTGGCGCCCTAGATTTTGATATCTGTATTGAAAATATTTTACTGAACCTACACCCTTCCGGCTGAGTGATTTGTCGGCACCTTTGTTACGCACTTACGCTTCCAAACTACCTCTAGGTTTTTTTTATTTATTCTTTTTTACTTCTATTCTCTTGTTTTTTTCTTATATGTGTATATATTTTGTACAAATAGTTTTTTTTAAATCAAAAAGCAATCTACATAAAAACATGTGCCAACAATCAACCAAAACAGATTTTTTGCTGTAGCACTGTTTGCGCATAAGTTTGTGTTACCTATTTTTGTTATTAATTCAAACCATGTTCATTCCAATCGTTGGCTTTTTTTTCGCTCCTGTCAAACTAAAGTAGGCCAAACCCTATATCGACGCATTTCCCTTCAAAAGTGCTATCCATTTATGCTTAAAAAATTAGGTGGTGCTATTTAAAAAAAATGTCGATGACGTCATAAGTTTATGAAACATAGCGCAAAAAAGGTTTAAGCAACGTGACAAAACGACAATTTTAATTTACTAATTGACGTGTTTTAGCATTTTTGTGAAAACTCAACACAAAATATAATATGGATTTTTTGCGTTACTTCTGGGACGCACTGTATTTCTAATTTAATGGAAATTGAGTTCATGACGTTTAAATTTTTTATTTCAGTGTTTGCTCTGGCTTATTACGATAAAATGAGGGAGACTCTAGAATTAGAAGAATATCATAAAATAATGCAGATTTTAAATGATCACGAGGAAGGTGATGCTGTAGATTTATACAAGAAAATTGAAAAGGTACTTGTCCCAAAGTATCAAGAATTGGCTGAAGAATTTCTGTTGTTTTTAAGAGAAAAGGAAGCTGCTGCTGCAGGACAGTTAGTGTCATGGATAATGGTGAACAATAGATCTAAATTTTTAAGAAAACTCGAAATTTATTTTAAAGACCAACCTGCACAACTTAGAAAAATATATAAATGTTTAACTGAATTATCTCAGACTGCAGATGTTTCCATGGAAAAAATAAAAAATACTTTGATACCTATGTTTAAAGGAAATGCAGTGTTATGTGATCTATTTGTACAAAATTTCTTAAACGAAAGGCCTCCTCCAAGGTAAGAATATTAATTTAATATAAAACCTCTCATTATAGTAATGAGATAACATGAATATTCATTAAAATCCAAATAACATTATTTTCATATAATGAGTACTTTTTGCCTATGTTAATATATATTTAATATCATTTGATTTAATAAAATTATTTTGTTTTTCAAGTACACAAATGCTTTTATTAATTTTTTTTTACCACAATATTTTTACATGATATTAATCAGAAAATTTCAGTTTTGACTCTGATAAAATCTAATATGGCTAAATTTATTTCAGTCTGTATTTTATCAAAAAGTTCTATTTACAAAAACTAATCCAAATATATGATTTGTAGACAAAACATCACATATTAGAGTGAAATACAAGATGTAGGGTGTTTCAATATTCCATGTACATAGAATTACCATATATTCTTGGCATCAAAATATAACTATTTCTATGCTTTACATAGCCACTAGTCAGCCTTTTTAATCAGTCAAATAATATGAGGGGGGCCAAAAATAACCGGACAAAATTCACTGCCTGCACTGCTCTTATAGTTGCTACGTAACCCATCCTGAGTCAATTTGCAAAGTTGCGTCGCTTGAGACGGTTGTAGTGTCCCCGAGACAGTTTTCGTGTGACTACTATTTCGATTTCGATTTTTTAAAATGGTTAATATTCGAGAACAGAATGTGGCATTTTAATTTTGCTTTCTGCTCGATAAAAGTGATCAGACGTGGTTGATATGTTATCTACAGCTTATAAAGACCATGCTTTAAAAAAGAACTCAAGTATATTAGTGGCATTCAGGTTCAAAAGGGGCAACTTATCGATCGAAGACATTCAGTACCCAGGTAGACCTTCCACGTGCAGAACTGATGAAAAAGTGTAAAAAATTTGCTCACTTGTGTACAAGGATAGAAGGTGTACTATTTATGGACTTGTTGAATTATTTGGTCTCTTGTGGAGCTAAGTGCAACACATTTTAGCTGAAGATTTGCAAATGAGACAAATCGCTGTGAAATTAGTTTTCTGCTTGTTTACTTTCAATCATAAGGCGGTTCATGTCGCTGACCACTTGAAAATGGACAAGAAGTTTTTCGACAAATTCATAACTGGGGATGAATTGTAGTATTATGGGTATGATCCTGAGATAAAGTCATCGCAGTGGAAGACCACGAACTCCTCTCACCTGAAAAAGGCCTGGCATTGTTCACTCGGAGTACATCCCTGAGCATCAAACGGTGAACCAAGTTATCTACCAGAGTGTTTTGAGGCAGTTGTGCATGAGTGTTCGGTAGGAAAGCTGATACGAAGGGAGAGAGAACTTACTTCGTGTTGAGGAATGCCGATTAACACTACAGTCTCTTCATGCTTGGAACTCTGCCTCTATAGCCGTTTGGTGACACTTTTCATCGGTTATTAGTACTTACACCCACAGTAAATACAGAATTAGATTCATAAATTATAAACACAGAAAAAGACAATCCTTCATTGGATTGCATTTGACAAAATTAATAGGGGTTTGTTACAAACTTAATATATGAAGGAATATAACTCGACCTCCTTCTTGTAATCTTCTTTTTTTGTAGACATTTAATAGAAAAATATCCTTTAGACAATCTTTTCATTGAAAAGATTAACTTTTTCTACTGCATGTTTATTGAATACACATATATATTTTTAGTTTATTGGAAGGTCCTTATGAGACTATTGATGTAACCAAAGACATGTCTAGAGTAGACGATGAAGACATAGTTGAGACAATTACAGTTCCAGATACTGAGGACAAATATGGGGGCCCATCTTGTATTTGCAATTGTCACCAAATAGAAGATGCAGAATTTAAGTCTCGATATAGGCACTGTACTCGATGTGGAACACGGGTAATTAATTAATAATAATCAACTTTTTTTTAAAAGATGTTATAATGTTTTATATAAAAAATATCACCTATACAGTGTATCTCAAGGTTAAACCACATATATTGACTTCTTGCTTGTTATTTATGTGATAAGAGAGACTATGATATTTGTATGGGATTTTTTTTCCAAATTTTTATTTCTTTAAAATTTTCAATATATGTATATTAACAGGATTAGTAGTGGCCTAGAAAACCGGGAATACCGGGAAATGTCAGGCAATTCATTATTCTTCATAAAAATCAGGGAATAGTCGGGGAATTTTAAAAACATTCATGAAAGTCAGGGAATTTGACGTTTGCTGGATTCTTCAAAGAGAAAACTATTTGTGGTTTTAAAACCTTTATACAGGTTTGTCCAGAAATAACTTAATATATAATATAAATATCAATTAGTATGTAAAAATGACCTAGATTTTTTTTTTTAAGTCAGGGAAAACCTGGAAAAGTCAGGAAATTCTATATTACTTTTGAACTATGAACCCTGTTTAAGAGAAACATACATTTTCTCATCTTTATTTTCATTGGCACTACTACTATGCTTAAGCAACTTGTTAGGACTAGGATTCTAAATATATTGTGTAGTTTTTATGTTACTTATATAGCCAAACAATTAAAATTTTGTTTTTATTTACATAAAAAAAATTGTAAAAGAGTGTTAACACTCCACAAAACATTTTATTTATAGCTGCCACAGGCGTCATCTGAAAAAATAAAATTTTAATTTTTTGATGCATCAAAATTTGCTTGCATCTCTTGGAAATTTGCAGCTGTTTTTAAAAAGAACTGAAATACCCTATTATACAGAGAGATCCTCTGCTCGTAATAATCGTGGTACCCTAGAACAGAGACTCAAGCGAGGAAGATCTGTTGAAATAATATTTCTAATAGTAGAAAATAATTTTAAATAGATGAAATTACGTTTGATTTCTGTAACCTTTAGCGATTAAAAAAAGCCAATTCAACATACGTATAAAAAATATAGCTTTCTTAGATATTTTGAAATGGAACACCCTGCATATTTTTACATATTCTCTATATAACATATCGGTCAAAAAGTCCCAGGACTAGGAGTTTTCGTATTTAGTAAACTGATGCTCAATTATTTTCTAAAAGTTTTCCAAAAATTTTAAAATAATAAAACATTAAACATCTAATTAAGTAAAAGTGTATGCGTTTATTTACTTCTGTTAACAAGAATTTTTTTTTGTTTAGTTTGTGAATGGAAAGGTTTTTATACAAAGTGGAAGGGGTTTACGGCCCGCTACAGTCTCATTTCTTACGAATCCTAATGAAGATCATAATGCAAGATTAATAGGGAAGACCCCAACTGTCACAAGTCAAAGGAAAAAGAGGTCAGAGACCAGCCCATCAAAACAAGTCCTGTTGTCACCAACCAAAGAAAATCCTGATGAGGTAATAATATGTACTTAGTATGTAATTATTAGGTTAGTACATTTAATTCGCAGGTATCTACTTGCTTTATCTGGTATTTAGCCTTTACATGCTAATTACTACCCATTAAAAGCTATGTACTCTAAATATTGAAATATTTCTTGCTCTTTCGAAGACTATAATTTCCAGCAGTCACTTAAGTACTGTAGATCTAAATAATACATACATATTTCAAAACATTAATTCAGGATTATTGGCACATTATTAAGGAATACAAAAATATTGTATAGAATAATTTTTTTGCATTAATTTTTTTTTGAGGCAGTGAAACTTCCAAACAGCTACTTCAAGTTGGGTAACTGGTATCGAGTACTTAAAATTATGACCCAGGCTTCAAATTTATGCCTGGATATTTGTGGACACTAATTCAAAACCTTACGCCGTCTTACAGTCCATACGATATTTGTTCAGATAGAATTCCAAGAAGACCCCTGTGTCACCTTCTTGAAATTAACCGCATTCGACATCCGAGTTAGAAAGACATTGTCCACCTTCAGCCAGACGCAGCGCTATGCTAGTGCTCGTAGCGCTATCATAGCTTTGTGTTCACAATTTTCTGCTAACAGGTTGCGCTATACCTAGCGGTCGCCATGTTTTGTAGCTTAATAATTAATTTTCGCTATTTTGAGAGGAGAGAGTGCTAGGTGTCAAATTTAAGCAGTTTTTAAAGTGTTTAAGTAAGAAAGTTAGGTTAGAAATACAGATGATTGAAAAGATTTTAAAATTTAAAACGATGTAGCATATATAGCTAACAAATTTTGTTTTTTATGATCATGGGACAATAGCTAGTCACAGATAACCATACTGTGATTTATGTTCTATGAAATTGTGGTCGATGGTTGTCCGCGCCAGATAGAGCGCTACATGCTACTTCTTAGCAGATACTGCTATTGCGCTATGTTCGGCTGAACGCGGCCATTATGTTTTTCCAATAAAACCTTTGGCATGTACTCTATTTGACCAAAATGATGTTTTTGTACTCAAATCTCTGAAATTTATTCTGTTCTAGTATTCCGACTCTCTGATAACAATAATACCTATTTAATACTAACAATTTTTTTTAATCAAATATTTTTCTTAGTTTTATAACAATTATTTCAACCTTTCTTTTCACCGTGTTGTATTCAAGTAAAATTTTAATTTAACTTTTAAATTGCTCTCAATAATCTGATTTCATCTCAATTTCCCAAATTTATTTGCAAATTTTATTGTTATAAGAAAAATTTGTCAAGTCAATTTCTATTATTTCATCTTTCAATAATTTACCTATTTCTTTTACCTTTTCCTTGTGCATATATGGTATTGACTACGACTTTGCTTTAAAATTCTTAATATTGTCAACTTTTATTTTATAAACATAACTTGTAGCTACTCTCACTTCATTTGAAACCACTCCTTCCTACTACTTTAACAAATCTCTTACCTCTTTATCATAATTATCAATAACATTTATTTGAATATCATTTATATTAAATAATTCTTCATATTCTTCATTATAATAATAGTCATTCTTACTACAAAAATTAACTTCTATCAGTTCCCTATCTTTTTCCTTTACAATCATTCCTTGTTCACTATATATTTATAACTTCACTTATTTCTTTGAAATCTACCCATATATCATTTATGCATAACTTTCTATTTTCATAATCTAATTTGGCTTTGTATTTGTTTAAATAATCTGATCCCAAGACAATGTCCATGGTCAGGTTAGGTACTATTAAAAGTTGAAATACTAATTTGTGATTATTTAATTCTAAAGTAATATTTAGCATTTTGTTGACATCATACAGTTTTTTATTATTAGGACCTACTAATGTTAATCTATTTACTTTAATTATGTGTTGATTTAAATTTTGAAATTTTTCTACTATGCTTTGACTTATTAATGACGCTTCAGAACCTGTATCAAGTAGTATATTTAAATTGGAATTTTGAAATTTGGAATTTACATAAATTAAATTGTTATTTTGATTTATTATTACGTTTTCATCTAATGTTATAAATTCTCGGGGATGCATATAATTACAACTATATAATTTACTTAATTTGTCTGGCTTGCATTTTACTAAAAATTTTGAGGATCGTTTGTACTTTGTCTTACCGATTCCCTGTCTAAAGATCTGGATCTCTGTGTTTCAAACCTACCATCCTCATTTATGGGCATTTCAGCTCGTTCTTCTGATCTACTAGGACTTCGTCGTCTCTGAAAATTCACTTGCCTTCGAGGCTGTACATCTTCTTCCCCTCTCGATGGTTGATACTGATTACGCCGTGGATTGTTATATGCATTTTGTCGAAAACCATGGTTGAAATCATTATTATAATTGTTAAAATTTCTATTATTATTAGGATGAGCATTTTGATTACGTTGATTATCGTAATTATTACCAAAATTGTTATTATTGTTGTATCGATTGGTGAAATTATTATTATTATTTCGAAAATTATTGTTAAAATTGCCATTATTTTGATTATAGTGATTATTTTGCCGAAAATTATTGTGGTTTCGATTGTTATTAAAATTGGTTTGATATCTATCATTTTGTCT